AATGGAAAAACAAGGAAAGTGAAAGAATTAAAAAAGAAATCATCTAGCCTGGTATCTTGCACATAGTAAGAACTTAGGAAATATTTGTTAAATGGATGAATATTTGGGGCAGCTAGGTGGCTCAGTGGATAGAGCACCAGCCCTGAAGTCAGGAGAACCTGAGTTCAAATCCTGCCTCGGATCAAACACTTGACACTTACTAGCTGTGTGACCCTGGGCAAGTCACTTAACCCCAATTGCCTAAAAATAAAAATAAATAAATAAATGGATGGATATTGTACTAAACTCATTCTACTTCTAGTAAATCCTAGGTCCCCACCTCTCCATCATTTGACTGCAAGTTCATAAATAGAGTTAGAAAAGACCTTGGACCCCTCATTTTACAATTGAAGAAACAGGCTTAGAGAGAAGAGACTTGTCCAGTTATCAACTAGTAAGTAATATAAACAGGACCTCAACCTAGCTGTTCAGATTAAATGAATGAAAGAATGAATGAATTTTTTTTGGTTCTTGTTTAGTCTTGTCCAACTCTTCATGACTTCTTTTGGGATTTTCTTAGCAAAGATACTTGAGTGGTTGGCTATGTCCTTCTCCAGCTCATTTTACAGATGAGGAACAGAGGCAAACAGGGTTAAGTGACTTGCCCAGAGTCACACAGCTAGTAAGTGTCTGAGGCCAGATTTGAACCCAGGAAGATGAGTCTTCCTGACTCCAGGCCTAGTGCTCTATCCACTGTGCCACTTAGCTGTCCTATCAGAGGTTGTATTTGGTCACACAGCTTGTAAGTATCTGAGATCTGATTTGAACTCATGAACATGATTATACTGGCCGCATGCCGACCTTCTGCTGGCCGTACGCTGGTACCCGCTCCTCCTATAAGAAACACACTACCAGAGTCTTACTCACACTCGAGTCTTCGGTCCTCTGCCGGATAACCACACAGAGACGAGCCATCGGGAGGCGCCAACACCAGAGCTTTATTCAGAGGCCATCACAGCAAGCCATCATAGCAAGCCCAAGCAGCAAGGCCAGAGCAACAGGGCAGGAGCCAGGAGAGAGCGCGCGTGTTCTGACCACGCTTGTTCCTAAAAACCCACCTAGCCCCTCCTCCCCAGCCCACTTACTAGCCAATGATTGTAGGGTCAGATACCAGAAGGGGCTGTCTGAGTTTAGCATACTAAGGGGGAGGGAGTGACGTAGGAGGCTAGGACCGGATACAGGGAGGAGGCATCTGGGAATGGCGCATAGACAAGAGTACGTGACCTAGGAAGTCAGACTCAGGAGGGGTCTGGGGTCAGTGCTGCACAAAGGGACTCAGGAAGGTCACAAGAGGCGTCTGGGGATGACATTGCATATAGGGAGGGAACTAAGCAAAGGGAACTCAGTCCTCTGCCGTCCCACTCCCATGTGGCACCGCCCCTTGCCTCAGGAGCTCAAGCTCCGGCTACTTCCTTGTACCCAGCTTATCTCACAAGCACTGCCCACTGCCTCAGGGCTTCTCCGTATCCAGCCCATCCCAGTTCACCACGACTCTGCCTACCACAGCCCCTGCCTTGACTTCCAAAATACCCAGATCTTACCCTACTCTTGCCACAGCGCCCAACCTGGTAGCTGCCAACATCAGACAGTCCCTCACACATGATTACAAGCCCAGTGCTTTATCCACTTCGACAAATTAAAAAAATCATTTAAGTGCTTATTATGTGTAAAGAACTACGTTAAGTGTCAGGAATATAAATAGAAAAACCTGACAGTTGCACAGACCATCTCCCGCCTCCAAGTAGCTATGCAGGTCATTCCTCTTACTTGGAGTTTGCTTAAGGAGATCACATTCTAATGTGGGGGAGACAACAAATCTGGGTGTTTTTAGTTGCAAGTCAGAAGGAAAAGTCTCATCCTTAAGGTACAAGAGGAAAGTGTATAGTAATACATCTTTTCTACTGTCATTTCCATTGATAAATCCATATCAGTTTCTGATATTGAACCTTTTAACAGTGCCAAGACTTTTAGTGGTAAGAACTTGGATATCACTAGACCGAGCTGCCTCTCAAAGATCCGATCAATAGAGGTTTTGGTGTAACTCATATTCATATAGCATTCTTTCTCTAACATGTGAAGACTTCTCTCTGTGGAATGAATGGACAAGAACAAAGTGTGCCAACAGCCTTGATGGCGGCTGAAACAGGCATAGAGTGTTGGAGCTTAGTCAGACATCGAAGACGACAAGGTCATTCGATGCATGTGGGGCCATCACCAGTCATCCTGACTTTTGTCCTGCCACTGGACTTTGATGACTGGAAGAGAGAGTGAGGCTGCTGACTTTGTGCAACTCTGCCTCACCTAAATACAGTTCAGTGCAAGTCAAGACATCATCATGTGATATCATTGGTCCTCTTTGAAAACAAAGGACAATCAACAGTCTATATCTAGATCCATCTTTCTATCTACCTATATCTATCTATCTATCTATCTATCTATCTATCTATCTATCTATCTAT